ATAGAAGGTTGGTCTAGCTGTCCTTCTGTCTGTCTATCCTGGCCAGCAGTAGGAGATGCTCTATACATAGCAATCATCCATCTCTAATTTTTTTCTGAAACTACTGAAATATTACTAAAACTAAGCATGATGGGAAAACTGAATAAATGCAGTTTAGTTTCATTTTACCTATAACTTCATAAGTTAAACTGTTGATATGGCAGTAGAATAGGCATTTTCTGAGCAGCTGTAGTGTGTTGGGCTACAGAGTTTTGCGCTTCTGCCTTAAAGAATCTCAACAGAGGGCTCCCAAAACTTCAGATTGGCTAGCTCTTTCTAGAGTGGTGGGATAAAAAATGTCAGATCAATCTTGAGATTTTGACAGAATTAGTAAATGAGGAGTTGGCCATTTCATTGATACAGCAAAATAAGTCTATGTGTCCCTTAGGCTTTAGTGAATTTATCACAGTTGAAAATTACACCTCAAGCCTTCTTTAATAAGGCTGTGGCAATTTAACTAGGAGCTTTCAAGTTGTTAAACATTTAAAGTATAACTTCATCAGGCTTTTGTAGCTGTTCTAAATTAGCTTTCTGTATAACGAGAAAGCGCTTACCTGATTCTCTTGCTCTCAGTAATGGGGTCCCAGGAGAAAGTTAATCTTTTATTCTTGACTTAGAAGTCTTCTAAATGGGATAATGCAGTGCCAAAAGTCCTTCTGCAGAAAGATCCTGAAAGATTCTTACTAACCTGTAGCTGAATTATGTGAAGTAGCAGTTGAAAAGGCAAATGATCCTCACTCCTCCTACAAACTAGCTCTCAAGCTGGCACTGCATCCAGTTCACAATGCTTATTTTCACCAATAAGCAGCTTTTCTCTTCCTCCCTCTCCTCCTTCCTGCCTAAACATTCTTCCCTCTGCTAATAAGACATGTCACTCTGACTGCACCTTAGTCCCTTCACACAGGTACTAAAGGAATTTACAATCAACTGGTTTCAATTGCACACAGCTACAAAATGGCAGGAGGTGGCAACCAAGAACGGGCGGGAGCAATGCAACTTTTGTATACTGTGAGTACCTTCTGTTAGCAAGTACGTCTGTATAATACATAACTCCCAATATGTATTAGTCACCTAAAAATAGTTACCTCACTGAGAAGAGCAGCTTAATTAGCAATTGTACCACCCAGCTGGGCCCAGGCTAGCATAGCTTCATTGGCCTTCTCAACAGTTCTGTACTGCAGAGCGGATCTTTGCTACAGACATTAGCTAAATACACTTAAATATTTGCTGTCTGCTGTGGATACTGAAAGGGTAAGAGATGCTAATGCACAGGGCAGTAAGAAATGCCAGTCATTCTGTAGATAGTTTCACTCCTGAGTCCCCACACCTAATTACTGCTTTGAAACATAAAAAGGCTATGATAATTAAAACAGAAGGTTAATAATGAACTTCCTTGTTCATTTGCAGTTAGTGATCAGAACACAAATTTCTTTGGGACAAATAGCACTTTAAAGTCAATTATGTGGTTTCACAAGATTCTGATGAAGGCATTCTGTAAGTGGAATTGCATAAATCTGGAAATTATTTTTTGCTGCATGGAATTAAGACATGGATCCTACTGAAGTTTTCAACCTTCCACCTTTATTTAATTTTTAGCAGTTGTACTATTCCATAGTTTTATAATATATAGTTTTATGGGGTGACTTGTTACAAAGTGGGGGAAATCTACACACATGAACTGCAGATATCAGGATGTTGAGAATTACTTTTCCAGTTAATACTCTACCTTTCCAAATCAAGATTTAAATTTTAATACTGTAATTTGTCTCAGTATTCCCAACCAATACTTAGTAAACATATTCCAGGAAAAAAAGTAGTAGTACTTATTTAAAAAACTTTTACAGATACAAGTCTCTGGCAGAGGAAGATACTTCCTGATCTCTGTTGTTCTATTTCTTAGATATGCTTCATACAAACAGCTAGTTAATTATGGCTAAAAATTAATAATTTTTTTCACTTTTACCATTTCTGTAAAAAATAATTTCCAAAGGCATTGCTGTGCCTTCTGAAGAAAAAAAAACAACACATTATCTATCATTGTCTCAATAGAAGTGATTTAAATAACTGTGCCAAACACTTATCTGTAGGATTTTACATTGATTTATCTAAAGCGTTTGTTGATATTCAAAATCTACTTGGCAGCTTTGGTCAGAGCAGCGTGTAGGAGAACTGAGACTTACCAGGCTATATTCCTCATCTGAGTTATTTATTTCCTTACTGTTGTGAAGCTGCCTTCTTTGTGAGCACTGGTTTTGCTGGAAGGGTACTGCTACGTCAAGCTGAGGGCTCCATGTGTTCGCTCTGTACCCAGGGGCAACCTGGCCTCTTCCAGCATCACAGCTGAAGTAGGCGTGGAATGAAGTGGTGCAAAGGGTCAAGGCTTTGTACCCAGGAGGAGGGTATCTATTATAATCCTCACTAGAGCAGAACATCGGGAGGAATTTGAACCCTTCAGTAATACACTTTTGTGCTTGGGATTGTTTTTTAATTCATACAGCTTACCTCAAAAAGTGGCAGTTTCCAGGACATCAGAATGGATTCTTCCTTGACTGCTAATTAAGGGAGGGACTGAACTGTACAGTCTGACTGCAGGCGGTGCCAATTTCCCAGCTCACCAGTGAACATCTTCCTATTTTCAGGTTTTCTCTCCCTTTGCAGTTGGCTGAGAACTATTTCCTGAATGCATTAGCCTATGCTTAACCCCCTCCATGTGCCCAATCAACTGCTTAACCAGAAAGCTACATAGATTTAAGTTACTGTGTAACTCACAGTACTGCAGAGCACTTTTTAGCACTGAGGGGTATCAACATACACATACCTACTTCAAAGTACTCGTTCAGATAAACAGTCTTTGAAATGCAGCATCGCAGCAATTCAGCTAATTGGGGCTCCAGTGGTAACGAGCTTATAGTATGCTCCTTCCATTGCCATCAGTTCATCATGAGTGCCCCTTTCAATGATGATTCCTTGTGACATCACAGCAATGATGTCGGCATTCTCAATTGTGGACAGGCGGTGGGCAATGACAATGCAGGTGCGCCCTTCTCTGGCCTTATCCAGTGCTGCTTGCACAGTCTAAGAGCAACAAAGAAAGCATCAGAGTGAAAATGGGCAAATCAAATTGGGGCTCAGAGCTGGAGAGATCTGATTGCTTCAGACTAATTAACTATATTGTGCAATATTTGTACTAAAAAGGGAAAGGTAAAAATACAGTAAGAATCAAACTGTAAGGAAAGTCTTTTTTTCAGCTGACACGCTCAGCTTGGATGTGCTTCTAAATTTCTACCAATTCTCTAATATCCAAGTGAGTGTGACCAAGCCAAGGAATTTATTGTCCAGCTCTCAGGCCCTGCACTGCTGTTTTTATTGGATATTCAGACTCATCATCAGATGCTTCTGTGGTGGTTTAGTTTGTTTTTATGTGCAAAAGCTGTATTTATGACAGATTCCCACTGAATGCTGTGAAACCCAGGGAATTACTATGCACAGTAGACAGAAAGTACTGCTTCTTAATGATAGTTTAAGAGTCTCTGTAGCTGGCTATTGACTTTATAGCCATACTTCCTCGATCTTTCAAAAAGATCATTAAAAGTGTAAGTGCTGAATTAGCAGTGGTCATGTAATGACCATTATGCTGTGGTAATGTGATCTTTGTACAGCAGGATGTCTCCACAGATCAGAAGGTGGCATTGTACTTTGTAAGCCATTGCATTAATTTTCCCTTATTTCTTATCATTGCAAACTTACCTTTTCACTTTCTGTGTCTAAGGCAGATGTAGCTTCATCCAATAATAAAATTTTTGGATCTCGTATGATGGCCCTCGCTATAGCAATACGTTGTTTTTGCCCACGAGACAGCTGAGATCCTTGAGCACCAACGTTAGTTTCATATTTCTGAAAAATATGCCAAAGGAAGATCTTTATCTAGCTGTAAACAAACAAGTGCACAAGCTCAAGGAGCAGCGGAGGAGAGAGGCGGGAGTTCTGACCATTGCTGTCTCCTCCTTAAAGAATCTGGGAAGACAGAAATACTTTAAGAGCAATACAGATGTTCAGGGAGATATCTTTGAACCATGTTTTGTAGTATGGTAAAAGGCCTGAAAAATTTGATGGCAAGATGATGATTGATTTGTGTGAAGCAAAAGAAATCCCTGACCTAGATTTGGGAGAAGAGGCTAAAAGAGACTGTGGGGCTCACTGGACAAGAGCTTTGTTTGCGTGCATAAATTATATACGTATCTTTCATGTTCTTATCATTTATGTCTGTATGATTTCAGTGCATTTAAATACCTCCCCCGTGTGCATAAGCAGCCAGCTTCAAGTGTTTTGACTGAGGTATTGTACCCTAATTGCAGGGCAGCACTCCCACAGCTGAGAACAGGATCTGTATTTCCTGTATAATACTGTATAATGCTTACCAATAATGCTGTATAATGCTTACAACACTGTAGAATGCTTTGACTGCTGAACATGATACTTCCTCTTTTTTCTTATCAATTGCTTTGAGAATCTTCCCTTTTCTCCTAATTTAGAATCATATTATTTTTAGTCTTAGAAACGTTTGCCTACTGTGTAAGAAAACAGAACAACTCACACCTAAGCTCTCGGAAACAAAGAGTGGTCTTTTCTCCTACCATTCTAGTTGTAAAGGCAAGACATAAAATATTTACTGCAGCAATTTCAAATGGTTTTGGTGCAACCCTCTGCAACGACCAGCTGAACAGTGTGCCCCTGCAGCCAAGCCTCAGGTGTACTTACTTCAGGAAGTGACATGACAAAATCATGCAGCTGAGCCTTCTTGGCTGCTTCTATGACTTTTTCCATTGTCGTGTCCTTAGTGTTACTGCCATACTTAATGTTGTCAGCAATGCTGCAGTCAAATAGCACAGGTTCCTGAGACACTACTCCAATTTTTGATCTGAGAAACTGTACATTTACTTTCTTGGTGTCATGTCCATCTATTAACTACCAGGAAATAGGAGAAAACATAAAACATCATTCCAAAATGACCTGCAAAGCCAGTTAGTTTACAGTATAAGTAAATTATTTGTTAATAAACTACAAGCAAGACTGACATGAGGTAATTTGAAGTATCTCTTACATTTGACCTCTTTATACATGACGAATACTTTCCAGCTGTGTCTGTGATCCAGCCAAACTCTATACCATCTGATTACTCTTAACTCCAACTGAACTTTTACTGCCTCAGGTTAGGCACATGTTTTGTTGCCTTGCCAGGCTTAATGATCACCACCCTTATTTTTGTCAAAGGATGAGATTCTGACTGGATGATAAAGTTTTTATAAGGAAGAGTTATAAAAGCTAGATAACTATAATCTGCAAAGAAGCTGCATGTTAAAACTATATATTAGTTAGTGAAGTTCCAGATTCCACTGCTTCAGTCAAGCTTGATTCTTGTTTGTGTTCCCGCAACATCAGCCACACATTCATACTGGAGCTACCAACGTGATTTCCTGAGGCCTTTATAATGCAGGAGGTGAGTAGTGTTCTTATTTTTCCTCAGTACATCTGAGATGATGCCCAGAGTTTGAACAGTCCTCCTTTGAAAAGGAGCTGAAAACCCAACCTGCATGTGTAGAGACACAGTGCTAGGTTCCACGTTTGGACACAGTCAGAAGAGTCCATGTAGCATTGCTGAAGACAACAGTACACAAATCATGTTTTCTCTACTTACCACACTTCCTTTCTCAGGATCATAGAAACGCTCCAGAAGCTGGACACTGGTGCTCTTACCACAGCCGCTACTGCCAACAAATGCCAATGTCTGTCCAGGCTTAACAGCTACAGTCAGTCCTTTCAGGACCTGAATATCAGGCCGCGAGGGGTATGTGAATTTACAGTTAAGAAATTCAATGCTCCCCTTAAAATCATCCTAGTGAAAAAATGAGAAACACTGCAATGATCTCAAGCTCAAAACTGAGTCATAAAGTAGAAAACAACTCCTCCTCAAATTCATTTCTTGCATCTGTTATTCAAAATGTTATAGCAGTGCTCGTGAAATTAGCATAGAAAGAGTCATTATAAACTTACTGGCACAGCTGTTCTACAAGGTGAAGTCATTAGTCATTAAACAGAAGCTCTACTGACACATCCCTGTACTACACCGGCCCGAAGGAACAAGTGGAAGTGGGATTACCTTGCCAACTAGTAAGTTACTCATTTTAATACAGATACTGTGTAAGTACAAATTTGGTGACTGTATAAAGATATTTGTGTGAAAAGTTTTCGTTTTTGTTTTAGATCTACTAAACTTTGTGATGTTAAAACAATATGTGAATTCTGGTCAATTTAATGTATTTGGGACACATATTTCAAGAATTCCTTTAAAGCTGAAAGAAAGCTAAATGAAAAATACATCTTTTTAATTTGCTACGTCTGAGTTTTCCACTGACCGAAAACATTTTCATTTTGTCCTATTCAGAATTTTTTTTCCTTCTCACAAACGCTTCCAACTTCTATATGAACTAAAAAAAAAAGCATTACACGGTGGCTGTAATAACTATCAGAAAGCAAAAGCACACTGTTTGGTGAATCATTCGAATTACTGCTATTGCAATCCACAGGAGTTTTACATAAATTCCTAATAGCCATGCTTTATGTTACTCTTGCTGCCTATTACAGAGCTCACTGCTTCCAAAAGAGCAGATGTATCAATTATTTGGACAGAAGAACCTTACTGTAAAGTAGTGATCCCCAGTGTTTTTAAATTGTTACTGCAACTTCAGTGCTTATTTTGAGCTGAGTGACATCTCATACCACTCATCTATCTCCACACTTACCCATTTTTCTCCTTTTTTGCTGTAAACACTGATTTTAGGAAGCCGATCGATGAGTTGAAACAAGCGTGCAGCAGATGTTTTGGCTTTAGCATAGTTCGGGGTGTAGGAAGAAGCTCTTCCCAAAGAAGTCCCACTGGTCACGATTGCAGAGATCACTCTGTAGGAAAAGTGAACATGGTTACTCTTGGGCAGCCATCAGGAAGCTGTGTGCTCTGCCCAAACCAGCACAAGGAGAGGAGCCTGTGCCTGGCCCCATGCAGGGTCTTACCTGAACACAAAGCTGTAATGGAGCCCCTCAGTTTGAACCAGAAAGCCTCCATATCTGTAAGATACGGAGTTGGCTATGAACACTACGCTCTGGGCGAAGCCAAAGCAGATTCCATAAACATTTGCTTTTTTGATTGCAGCTCTGTACGGCATATCCAGGTTCTTCTCAAAAGCATCAATAAACTTTTTTTCTTTCCCTATCCCAGCCACAGTTCTGATGTTAGAGAGAGCTTCACTGGAAATCTGGAGGAGAAAAAAAAAAAGAATAGTAAAATGCTTATCCCTGCTTATCTCAAGTAATTTTATTTGGAAATTGGTTTAACAATGCTGTCGTTTGCCTGGAGTTCGTAAGTAGTTTCATGGTATGACATTTCCTGTGTTTTCAGCACACGGATGTTTTTATCAAACAGAAAGAGATCTCAATATATAAACCATTACAAAGTATGCCATTCAATTTCAGGGTATTTCTTATGGTAAAAATTAAGGGTCACATCTGTTGCATTATTACACAACTTGAAGCAGAAAATAATTAGGTACAGTGCATTTGTCCAGGCTGCTTTTCTATGTTTTATGTGGCTGGGGAACAGTCACAGTGGAGAAGCTTTTTATTTGGATGCAGTGCTGGGAAATAAATTAGACAACAGCACCAGATATAATCAGTCATTGCCAAAACTGCTGAAGCACTGAATGCCCTTTTCATCCCAGCCTCTGAGTTGTTCTATTGAATACAAGCTTAAAGCTTGACTCAGTAGTAAAGTCTCTCTGTTTAAATCCCCAAATTAGTTCCAATATAATGTTTTATTACTTTTTGTAATTAAGCCATCCTGAATGTGAAACACTGGTCTGGCCATAATTCTTCGTTGGCTTTCTAGAACTGATGATAGTTCCTAACAGCCCTCACCAAAGGACCACGTGTGCCCTGTGAGCATTATTATTATTATTATTATTATTATTATTTTTGAATTCTAGAATTCTAAGGGGCACCCTGAGCTACTTGCAGAGCTGAACAGGGCAAGGGTCCCATCCACCCATTTGCTGCACAGATATGGACAAGAGGAGGCTGAAGCCATGTCTCTGAGAGCTTAGCAGGGTAAGAAGGTTCAGGTGTGGCAGGGTGGGAGGTGGGCTGGGTAAGACATTTGATGGTCAGAATTTGAATGGAGGAATGGGGAGGGTTGGCAGGAGTGAGAGATATGCAAGAATCATTTCTAGACAGGATAAAGAATTGTCTGGGAGCTCCATGGAAGGAGCTCTGAGGTTTTGGGAGAGCTTATAAAGCACACTTTTGATGCTAGAAATATGAGAGCCTAAAGAGTGGGGAGAAGGCTAGTGCATTACTCAGAGAGCTAATATCTGACATGGTCTTCCTCATGTTGCCTGTCCTCTAAATCTGTGTTTCTGATACAGTTCAGTTTCTGCCATGTTGAACTAGGGTACATGTATTTAAGAAGGATCGGATTCTGGGCAATGCACCAGAACTTACTGACTCAGAATTAAAGTCAAAGGAACTTCTGTGTTTCAAGTCAACAGAGCAGCCCACTGCTCTCCGTGGTTAGGAATGAACTCTGTGAGAATATGATGTTCCTTTACCTTCCATACTCACCCTGTCCTTATTTGGTACATGAGCTGGGAACCTGCTCAGCTAGAGCAAAATTAAATAAACCTATTCTCAGCCTAGGAGATGGGGCAGTCCTCAGGGCCTTGCAGCTAACAGGGCATGGGATGCTGCTAACTGATACTGGAGTCAGAGTAACAGGGAAGAGAGCTTTAGCCAGAGATCAGCAAACGGGCATTTACATAAAACCTGATAAAAGTGGAACAGACAAATGAGAGAGTTGTGTCTACCATCCAATAACATTTGGAAAGTCATGTGCTCTAAGTGCTTTTGAGATCAGAGTTCCCAATGGCGTTTCAGTAATTTTACAAGCTAAAACATTGCAACTTATTTGCAAAAAGTTGCTAGTTTCAATGCATTTGAATTACTGATGGTCTCAAATGTCTGGTTTTCAACTGCCCACAACTGCAAATACAAATTAGTTTTTCAGTAATGTTACCTGCCCAGTAGCTTCCAGAGCTTTCTTGTCCTGAGCAGCAAATCCTGTCAACATTTTAGCTTGCACAGCTCCAGACAGGGCCAAAAATGGCAGGAAACACATTATGACCAAACTCAGTTTCCAGCTGAAGTAGAAAGCGATAATGATGGCCACCCCAATGTTGGTGAAGGAGTTGATGATCATTCCTATCTGCGATCCAGTTGCCTTCAAAGAAAAGAAAAGGAGATGGCTGACCTGTACTCCAATTGTAATTTCAATTATTTTTAAATAATTTTTCCTGTAAAAGCTTAGAAAACTCTGAATGATATTAAAATACTGTAAGGCATTCACTGGCTGCTGACTGCACTGGAATTTAGCCAGTTCAGACATATGGCCTCCTATGAATTGTACTAACAAGACTGCAAATCTCTAGCATTCTTCTCATCACCAAAGTTTCCAGTAAGAACTGAGAAAATGCTTTCTGATGATTGTGAGAAAGATAATGTATTGAAGTGAGTCCCCTTGATTCCTTATCTAAGTACTCTTTTCAGCCCCCACCATTTATACATCTAGAATTAAATAATAAGCAGAACCTTTTGTAACTTAAATATTAACACAACAAAGTCTTAGCTGCGTTTAAATCACTAAGAAACACCATTAAAATGTGCCCTGAAAGAGGCTGTACAAACAGAAGGGGTTTGCAGCTCCTTTTTCTGGTCCTCTGGAAACTGCTGCTAACAGGGTTTTTGGGAACCTCTTCTCTCATTCATCTTTAAATTCTTAGAACCTCCAGAAATAGTAGTTTTTAAAAACTAATCCATTATCTTCAGTCAAGATGAATCAGAACAATTACTTGTAATAGAAACATCTGTCTGTTTCCTTCTTTTTTTCTAGAAAACCACTTGCATTGGAACCAAATGAAACGGTTCACTTCTAACAAAGCATCCATTCAGTGAAGTATACTAATAGCTCAGCATAATTTAATCCTCATCTCCTAAGGAATTCAGCACGTGGGTTGAGTGGGCCCCTCTCCCAAACTGGAACTCACACTGAAACTGACTGCCTGAATCCCCAGCTGGTGCACCAGCCAGTCCTGTCAATTGGTTCTTTATGTGGGCTGTCGCTTTAAATCAAAGCAGCAAGGAACAGCTTTGATACAGCATGAACAGTATCATCCTGTAAACAAGACTGGTGAACCTTATGACAATACCAGCCTGACGTGCTTTTGAAATAAACACATAAGCACTGTAGCAAAGAGCTAACTCATCTTCAGAAGGAAAACAAAGAAAGCTCCTTGATGCTAATTCCAGTTTCACTGATGGCTGATATTAATTCAATTTATTTTTGTGTAATTTTCAGGTAATACAGACACCAATAGCGGTCAATGAACTGTGATCCTAGTTATGCTTTTAGGTAAACACAGTGGTAATAGTTCCAAGTTCACAGTCTATGATAAACGGCAAAAGCTTAATTGACTGATCAAGGACTGGCCTACGCTGACTTTGCTGTTCTCATGCTCGTTAATTTCTGTGATGATGTGTCAGAATAGGCCTCCAATCTGTGCTTAAAAGAATTATGAAGGTCTTACCCCTTGGACCTGTGATGCATCCGTTGCAAGCCTCGTAGTCAGTGCCCCAGGGCTGTTCCTCCGGTCATCAAACCAGCCGATGTCTTGCCCTAGCATAGCCTGGAAACCAATTTTCCTTAACCGTCTCGTAAGCAGCTCACCAGACTTGGCAAAGTTGTATCCCTGGAGCACAAACAGTAAACAAAAAGGATTGTACAGAGAGATACACGCAGAAAATGGGATCAGAAACAAAATTTACTTACGTTGCACTGTTATTACCTGTAAAAACTGTGTAAAAAATGAAACAATTCCAACCAAGACAAACAGCAGGCAGACACCATTGATCTGGACTTTTTGTTCTTCCTCATCAAGAATGGAGAAGGTCTTCAGGGGAAAAAAAAAAAAGGGAAAAAAAAAGGATAACATAATATTAGAAGAGCCTGTTTTTATAAGACCACCACCAAAGGAAGTTACAAGCTGAGCCCAAGGGAGAGGACCGCATTTGGTCTTATTGGCTCAAGGACAAGTTCTGGTGACCTAGGAACTTACTGCTCTCCTCTGAGTTCTGGCCAGGAGGAGAGGGGACAAAAGGAAGGCTTATTCTGCTGCCTTTGGGCAGACGTGTCTTCCTAGGAGGTGAAACATCTGTATGTTCATTGCTGTTTACAAAACCATTTGTTCATGACTCTACTGCTCCCCCAAGAATCACAGTTACCACACAGGGCTCTCCCTCCCCCCTCACAAATGCCAACTTCCATATTTCTCTAGGCTACACCTGGGTACAGAATATTGATTTTTTTACTCCTCTTAAACAAGTTTGTTACAGTCTCTGTTTGCATATACTGATTATTTTCCGTCCATGCATAGTTATAATTAATCACACACACACCAAAGGTCAATAACCAGAAGGGCAATAACATTAATGGCATAGAGACAAAGCAACTACAGTAGCCTCCATACCTCCTCTCTAATCTATGACAACTGTAACCTTATTGAGCCATACAAAGTACTCATAAGCAATTACACCTTAGGATGGCTTCTTGCATAACACTAATCGACGCCATAATTGCTCTAAGTAGGCTTCAAACGAAGCCAGTGTCTTTTACTGAAGGTGTGTGGATACAAGCCATTTGCTCACTGATGGCTACTTGAGGAAGAGCTTTAGAACTTAAAGCAGAGCCCCTCCATCCTCATCCACTCCAATCTCCATTATATTTTCCTTTTATCTGTTGTTCTTTATACCTATCTCATCTTTTCCAACAACTGCTGGTGTTACTGGCTGCTGCTGAAGCAGTGGAACACATCTAAGAAGCCATTTCTACCAATTACTTTCCCTCACAACAGTTGATATTTATGTCAGTTAACCTACCTGAACTGCTGAACTGCTTATGCTACTTGGAGGGATAAGCCACAGCTCGTGGCTGTACTTCTCCACTAATGTTAAATTCATTCTAATTGGATTTCTCTCTTGCTATAAATTGCTTAATCTCTCACCTTCTCAGCCTATCCTCTGCGCAGCTAGAAAAGCCATGCACTGAAGTACATGCCTACGCTCACCCTAAACTGAGAACGGTAATTGTCCTGCAATTAAGAAGCAACAGTGGTTGGAAAGAGATCTCTGTACTGCAAACAGTTCAAACATATTTCCAATTGAATTTCACTGGAAAATGATTAATTTCCCATGCTTGGACAGTTTCACAATGAGAACCATAGAACAGCTGAGAAGAAACAACCAAGTGTTCCCTGTTGTAAGCTTCTGATTTGAACAGAACAACTAAAGAGAGACATGCAGTATTATCCAGCTCTTCGCTGACTTCTTAGGACTAATTTTTTAGCACCTTCAAAAGGCAGACTTTGCTAAATTCACTCTTTCATTCTGCAATTGTAAGGACTTTTTCCCATTGTTTCTCTAGTCTATTATTCCCACAGCATGAGCCCACATACCTGGCACAACATCACTGCAGACAGTCAAGCAGTTTGAAAGGCAGATGCCTGTTCCATCTGCCTGCCTTCCTTGGCAGCAGGCAGAAATTTCTTAAATTTATGAATAATAAAACACAGATATTGGACTTTGCTCATGTTGGCTATGGCTTCTTTTTTTTCTTGCAATGTCTTTCTTTTGATGAACTCAGACATTCAAGAGAAGGAATTCATCCACAATAAAGGAATTCAGCATCCTATAGGATGACTCAAGTCTTGACTTCGCAGTGTTAGGAAAACCCAACTCTCAAAAGGAATCAAAAGTTAGACTGATTGCAGACTATACAAAGCAGTGCTCCCCTGCTTTCTAGTGAACCTTAGTGGATTACCAGGGACAGGAACGTCTCCTGCTCTGCCCCTTCCTGGCAGGGGTAGACCTGCCAAAGCAAAAGGTCATTCATTTTTTCCATAGACTGTTGACTTATTAGGAGCATTTCCTCAACCCTTTTCTAATCAATAGCTCAGAAGCTGGAGCATTCATTCACTTCTTTCCTGCCTGAAAGGATTTAATCCTCTAGTCCCTAGGTGTGTTTCTACCCTTTGTATCATACATTCTTTGCACCCAAAGGTACTTAATATGACCTAGATGAATAAGTGGGGATTACAACACAAGTTTTGCCCTATCTCAGATTATTACCTAAACCCCAAAACTATATTAGTATTCCCATTTTCTTCCCAGCGAATGTGTCATTAGTTTACCCAGTAAGAAACAGCATAAATCCTCCTGATTATTGAAAGTTTATGGCACTTACCTGGGCACCAGTTAGAGCAGTACTGAATTTCCTTAGGCAGCCCTCCAGTTTCCAACTAACTTGACAAAGGTTTTCCCCAAAAAACTATTTTACAAAAGGAGCAAGCATCCTCTCTACTCCAACAAGTTTTTGAAAGAAAAGTCATAGCTGAACTCTTCAAAAGTTTCAGGTGAGACTGTAGAATGTGATGGTAATGCATCCCTTAGCAGATGACAAGGTGTCATGGTTCTATGTTCTTTGTTTGTTTGTTTGTTTTTTATTTTGGGTTTCAGTATTCCACATCAAAACATCATGTAGTGTACGGGGCATTAAAGTGTCACTGCCCCAATCCCAGCTACCTATCCCTGTACATTACAGCAGTCACAGGATCTGGCCCTTCCGGGTGGGGGGCGCTCTCTTGCTGCCTTGCAGTGGGTGCTGGAGGCGCTTTCCTGGCCGTTCCAAGCTTTTCAGGTTTGACTCGGTCCCGGGAACTCTCTCTCTCTCATCTTGTCTGATTTATTAATCTCAGTTTCAATTAAATTGTATATATTGTGTTATTTTGTATTCCAATATTACAGTAAAATAAGTTTTCCTCCATAGATTGTTGCCGCTGCTTTTTCCTCCCTTCCTTCCTTCCCATTTTTGTGGGACTGGGGTGAGGGGGAGGGCAGAGGCCTGTCGCCCCTGTCACGGACATAGATTGATCTGGTCAACTCCGTGACACAGGGTTTAAAACACATTCCTGTTTCCTGCTTGTCTTTCAAACTTGTTCATTCAAGTCTGCTTTCTGCTGACAGGTGTGCAATCTGTTACAACAATTTACCTCTCCCTGGGAATTGTGCAGGGAAAACGCAGCAGAGAAATGAAATATGTGAAGAAAAATGTGAGGTATTTTTTGGGTATGATCCAAGGCTTTCCTAAAAGCCTGGCCAAGACTTTAGAATAAAATTTTGCATGGAGGGACCTCTGCACATTTCCCTCCTCACTGTATCTGGATCTGAGGTATATCTTGTTTAATTTAAAATAAACTGCACATGTGCAGTAACGTGCTCCCAACAGTTCATGGAAAGCAAGGAAGACAGATGATGAAGCACACATGAAAAACACTAATAAACCTGCTCCTTCAAGAGAAAGCCCAAATGATAGCAGAATGGCAGTTGCATATCTCTACCAAATAACTTTTCATAGATAAGGAGGCTAACTCCGTTTACTTGACAAGACCTAAAGATTTGCCCAAAACATGCCAAGTACTGTGCTGCAGGATCCTACATTCTGCTTAAGCACTCCAATACACTTTCAGACGTCAGCTTAACATACCCCAAGAATCTGACTGAATAGCAAAGCGTAGAGTGGGCTGAGCGCTCCATTCACAGCTGCTCCCAGAGATCCTATCACCATGTATGGCCATTCAGAGGCATTATATTTCAAAATCCGGGCAAATGGGACAGGTTTGACATCTTCCTGCTCCTCAACAAGTTCCTGAAAAAAAGATTGGATTTATGAAATAAATGCATTATCCTGGTGATGCTCTCCATATGGCAGTGAGATACAATAATTAGCCTAGTCTGTTAAATGGCTGCCTCCAGTACTCAAATAGCTGCTCTAGCATTATATGGGAAGGAGCAACGATGGGCCTTGGCTGCTGACTGGAGCTCTTTCACAGGGCTAGGTATGCCTTGTTCAGCTCAACGGATTCCAAATTAAAAGGTTAATTATGAGCAGACTTTCTGCTACTGAAATTCAGACTGTTCCCATTTTGCTGCTTCCAGATGACGTACGATGCAACGCTCAGTATCAAAACTTAAGCTTTTTCCTCACAACGGCCTTTTAATCTCTCCTGGAATGTTCTTAAATATTATTTTTAAGCATTATGGGTGGACACACTGATCAGGCTCTGCATCAAATTAATAGGTATGCAATAGAACTAGAACAAAAGAGACCTCAAACAGATATCTAGAGTCAAGTTTTATACATGCTAATTATGTCTCCCTTTTGTGAAACATCCTCAGGCTACAGACAGAATTCCCATAATTACTCCCAATAACAGCAGAACAGTCATCATCAAATTACAACTTACCCTGCAGTTTGATTGTGCAGTTTTTCTGTAACAGTCAGTGTGCTGAGCCCTGTTCATCTCCCTCAGTTCACAAGGCTGGAAATGCCCAGACAAAACTGACCCTATAAAGACCTATTTGCTGGAAATGTGCGAGGGTGAATGAGTGGGAACATTTTGTTTTTCTCTTCCTTCTAAGCCAGTGCCAGAGTGACAGCACTGAAGCTCTCTTTTTAGCCACAGAACAGGCCCAACAATAGCAATAACAGTGACTTCAAACTGCTGCTTTCTGCACTAAACAACTGAGGCCCTGCAAATTGGTGCAGGGAGTTTTTTAAACATTTCAGAAACTCACTGTGTGTATTCCTAAATAACTGGTTTTATTCTACATAACTTTAATGCATGCCATCTTTATTTTC